CATGGTATATCTATATATTTTATATTATTAACCACAATAATAATGCCTATAGCTCTATTATCTAATTGAGACTCTATAAAAGAAAATGTAAGAGCATACATTATAATAATGTTATTATTAGAAACATTATTACTAGCTGTATTTATGGTTTTAGATATAATGTCCTTCTATATCTTTTTCGAAAGTATCCTACCTCCTCTATTTATATTAGTAGGTATATTCGGGTCAGATAATAAAGTTAGTGCTAGTTATTATTTATTCTTATATACATTTAACCTCAAGTGTAAAAGAGCCAAACACCGGGAAAGCCCTAAAACTCTAGTAACCAAAGTAATAAAAGAAATTTTATTATTGGCTTGATTAATGCTTCAGGGTATGGTAAAATCACTAGTTTTCATAAACGAAAAGCTACTTCTAGTGGCAGATATGTGGGTGACCGCGGTTCTAAGTCATTTTTATTTTAAAACTAACTATAAAGTTATTACAAATAAAGGTGTAAAAGAGCAACGAGTAGACGGTTCTTCAAGATCTAGAATTTTAGGTTTTGTAAGGTGTACTCTAGTCGCTGGGAAACCAGTTTTTGGTCGAAAAATTCATTCTTATTCTTATAATAGTAAAATTTTCAATGATATATTAAAAAAATCTATACGTACAAAGGCTACTATAGATCCTTGATTTATTACAGGGTTGGTAGAAGCAGAAGGATGTTTTATATTAGGATTTTTCAAAAGTAATAATTATAAAATGGGTTATCAAATACAGGCTATTTTTAAAACTACTATACATAAAAAAGATTTTAATTTATTATGTCAAATTAAAGATTATTTAGCTGTAGGAAAAATAACAAAACATGGAGAAACTACTTTACAGTATACAGTTAAATCTTTAAAAGATCTAGATAAAATAATATCTCATTTTGATCAATATCCTTTATATAGTCAAAAATGAGCTGACTATAAACTTTTTAAAGATGCAATTACTTTGATTAAAAATAAAGAACATTTGACTCGAGAAGGGTTTATAAAGATACTTTCTATAAGAGCCTCTATGAATTTAGGTTTGTCCGAGGAACTAAAATTAACATTTCCTACTATTGTACCTATATATAAACCTTTACCTTTAATTAAAAATACTGTAAATCCTTACTGAATAGCAGGATTAACTAGTAGGGTTGGATGTCTTCATGTCACTATCCGTAATTCTATTACAACTAAATTAAGAAAATCCGTAGTATTGAAATTCCATATTGTTCAACATAGCAGAGATATTGAATTAATAAATATGTTAATATCTACTTTTGGATGTGGAAAATTTGAACTAATATTAAAACAATCAGCTGTATATTTTGTGGTAGTGAAATTTCAAGATATTTTTGAAAAAATAATACCATTCTTTGATAAGTATCCCATTAAAGGAGTAAAAGCTTTGGATTATTCTGATTTTAAAAAAGTAGCCTATATAATGTATATAAAAGAACATTTAACTGAAGAAGGTTTATCTAAAATTCAATCTATAAAACTAAATATGAATTTATTTAGAAAATTTGAATAACTACCTTTTTTTTTTAATTACAAGAATTGCCGGTTAGCCGGTATGAATTGAAGTAAACCAAAATTAAAGAAAACATAATTATTTATGTAATAAACGTATGAGGATCATTATTCTTATTATTATCTATATTGAGTACATCTTCAATAATGGGTAGTACAGATTTCGATACGCTATTTAAATTAAACTTTGAATATAAAACACAAATATTTTTATTTCTAGGAATATTTATAGCATTTGCTGTAAAAACACCTACAATATTCTTAAATAATTGATTATTAAAAGCTCACGTTGAATCTCCTTTAGGGGGTAGTATAGTATTAGCTGCTATTGTATTAAAATTAAGTTTATATGGTATATTTAGAATGATATTACCTATATTACCTAAAGCAGCATTAGATTATACATTTGTAATTTATACAATAGCTGTTATTACAATAATATATGCTAGTTTTAGTACAATAAGAACAACAGATGTTAAAGAATTAATAGCTTATAGTTCCGTTTGTCACGCAGCTGTATATTTAATAGGTGCATTTAGTAATACAATACAAGGTATAGAAGGAAGTATTGTATTAGGATTAGCTCACGGGTTTGTATCTAGTGGTTTATTCATATGTGCAGGTGGTATATTATACGATAGAACAGGTACTAGAAGTATATTCTTCTATAGAGGTGCTACTCAATTAATGCCTATTTTCTCAATACTATTTTTCATATTAGCCTTAGGTAATTGTGGAGCACCTTTAACAGTAAACTTCGTAGGAGAATTTAT